CAGCACATTTCAAAGGTGCTCTGTTGGATTGAGATCTGGGGACTCTGAAGTCATTTAAGTACAGCTCATTTTCATGTTCAAGAACTCAGTTTGAGATTATTTGAGCTTCATGACGTGTTGTAAGCAGCCCTCAGAAGATGGGTCCTGCACACTGTGATCCTAAAGGGATTCACGTGGTCAGCAACAATACTTATTGTAAGCTAAAGTTTTTAAACAATGCTTATTTGGTACTAAGCGGCCCAAAGTATGCCAAGAAACCACCACCAGCTGCCTGAAAAAGCAGGATGGATCATGTTGTTTATGACAAATTCTGACCCTACCATCTGAATGTTGGGCGTATGGTTGTGTGGGAAGATTCCAGCAGATCAGCAGTTTCTGAAATACTCAGACCAGCCCATCTGGCACCGACAAACACGTCACATTCCAAGCATCTTAAATCACCATTCTTCCCAGTTCTGATGCAGAGTTTGAACTTCACCAGGCCTTCTTCCTAAATTCTCTGAGTTTCTGCCATGTGACTGGCTGATTAGATATTTGCTTTAACAAGCACTTGAACAGGTGTACCTAATTAAGTGGCCCATGAGTGTACATTGCAGTGTTTGTTTTATTTGTGAGACATGTTGATCTGCGGTAAATATTGCATAAAATAAAGAGGTTATTTTTGTTGTTTTTTAAATTATTGTTAAAATCCCATTGCTCTGTGTTACTATGTTCACTCGTGTTTCCAGGGTGATACCACTGGGCAAGGAGCAGACCGTAAGCGGGCACACGTTTCGCGGGTTTATGTCCCACTCGGAGTCGTACCCCTGTCCTTACCTCAACGCTGCCTCCGCTGTGGGTATCACTCGAGAAGATGTGACGGTCTGCATCAAAAGGCTCGACAAATGCCTGAAAACTCTGAAGAAAGAGGGCGGTGCGGTGTCTTCGTCGGACCAAGAGGTCTCTATAGGAGAGTGACTGAACTGAGGCTGAACATTTCAACAGGAGGACTTTGACCTTGTGCTGCCTTCATGCAGTTCTTTCTGATTTGGACTGTGTGTTTGTGTTATGAGTCATTACTTCTGGCAGTGAAACACTGTCCAGGTGGTCATAAACCAAAATAATGCAAGCACGTGTCACTGATTAATTCCCTCATCAAGTGATAATAGGACAAAACGTGCATACACATGCTGCTTTGGAGCATCTGGTCATAAGCCACTGAGCTAAATTTAGACCAAATGTATGCAAAGACTGTTGTTGACTGTGTATGTTTAACTTTAATTTAAAGCTAATTACACATCCAGCCTTTACAAAAGGACCTCTCATGTGTCTCTTCTTTCTTTCACTTTGAAAACAATCTCTTTTTCTCGTACACTTTCCCCTCATCGATACATAAAATGGTGCATCTTTGTAATGTCATATGTTTTACCATGCCTTCTCCAGTGTACGGTAACGTGATGCCAACGGTACTGAGCCATTAACTCTGTCTGAACTCTGTTTATTCAATAAGCTCATATATTTTTAGGCTCTGCAACAGATCACACAGAGCAGATAATCAATGATGTACATCAAGCACAGATCACTCACGTGTCCAGCAAAACAAATACTCACTGTTAGTCTCGGTAAGAGCCCGTAATGTTCGCAGCATTAAAAGGACAGTTCATTGTGAAATCGAATTAACACGTTTGTCCCTCTGGCCTGCAGTGTTTTATCTGTGTGGAGT